GGGCTCGGAGGCGATGGTGTGGAGTTCTTGTTCAGCATCGGAGTTCTTGAAGGCGCTGCCCACCTGTGGTTGGACAGTTGGATAGAGGGACAGAGAGCTTTGGAGAAGGAAGGAAGGCCAGGTCTTCGGAGAGGGAGGGATGGGCAGACGGGACTAGAGTGGATGGAGATGTTTGGGGATGGATGGATGGATGGATGGAGATACTGGGCTTGAATGGATAAAGGGATGGTTGGAGATGAGCAGAGATGGTTCCAGATGATCAGATGGTCCTAGGTGTTTGAAGGTGGGCAGATGGATGGATGGATGGCTGTGTTGAAAAAGGGATGGGTGACGTTGAGGATGGACAGATGGGTGAATGGAGATCTTTGGACACGAGTGGACTCACTCACCCCAATGGCGTAGCGGATGATCCCCGCACGTGCTGCTTCGGGGATGACCTGTTCATACCCCAGACTGTCCCCAAACTTCTTCCCATCCGTCACCACAATCAGGATCCTGTTGGCACCTTCCCGGGCTCCCTTCTCCGGAGTGAACAGTTCCCTCCTGCCCCGTGGGACAGAGGGGACGGTCGTCTTGGGATGGTGGGGTGACCCCAAGGGGACAGGAGGGGGGTCTAGGGACAGGACCTACACTACTTTCTGGATTGCAGTGGCCGTCCAGGTGGTCTCTCTCCTCTGCTTTATGTCGTTGACCTCCTTCTTCCGCTCCTCCGGGGACAATGTGGCAAAGGTGGTGAAGTCGAAATGGAGGGTGGAGCCTTTGGAGAACTGCATGAGGGCAAACTGGAGGGGGTGGGGGGAGGACACGTGATGGAGCAGGATCGGGCCATCCATGGGTGCCTGGGACCCAGCCCTGGAGAGGGTGGCACCTACATGGGTGTCTGTGCTCTCAAACTGGCTCATGACCTGGGTGATGAAGGTCTTCATCCTCTTAAAATCATTTTCCCCGATGCTGCCCGAACCATCCATGAGGAAGACGATGTCAGAAGCCTTTGTGAAGCAACCTGGTGGTGGTGGTGGGGTGGGGGTGGTGGAGAATTGGCGCGGGGAGGAGGGAAAGGTGTACAGCTTGACCCTGTGAGGCCCATCTACCCTGGCGTCAGGTCTTCACCAACCCCTGGAACCCACCTACCCTTGAATCTGGTCTTCTCCACCCCATGGGAACCCCATCAAGCCCCTCGCCCCATTGTGTGTGTGTGTCCCCCCGGTACCTGGCAGGGTGGTGGGCAGGAAGTTCCCAGAGGGCAGGAGGAAGCAGAGCCCCCGCAGCTCCATGTTTCCCCCACAGGCCCTCTGCGCCGTGGGGCCGCAGGCCTGTGGTCCACGAAAGGGCAACGTCATGTTCCATCAAACCCCTCCCCCCCCCCACCAGGCCCCCCACAGACCCCAATATTCTCCAATAAGTCCCAGGAGACCACCTCAGTAGACCCCAACAGAACCCCAGCAGACCCCAGTAGTGCCCCAAAACCCCAACAGAGCCTAATAGTCCCCAAGAGATCCCAGTAGATCCTAGTAGACCCCCCCCAAAGACCCCAATAGACCGTAGGAAACCCCAACAGAACTCCAGTAGATCCCAAAAGACCCCAGTAGACCCCAAAAGACCCCAGTAGAACCCTCGCAGACCCCAAGAGACCCCAGTG